TCAGACACCTGATGGATGGGATGATTTTACTCACCTCTAATAATTCTTAGTTCAATACATCTTAGGCAATGCTAGATTCCATTGCCCTGAATTTCAAAGATAGAAAAATGGGGTGGGATAATATCTCTCCTTTTTGATAAAGCAAAGTTGCCCGAAATCTATTTGTTCTAGATGCTCCTTTGTGTTTTCGCTCATCTGTTTATTTCCTTCCAAGGTGATGTGCTTTTCTTCACAGCAGAAAGTGTTACGTGGAGTTGATGGACATGAGAACTAAGATGCCCCATTACCTATGGTGGCATCTCCACCATTGCCACTGAATGCTTACACAGCAGCTTGTTGCTGAAGAAACACTATGTGCTTTGTAGAGACGTTTGCATTTGAGAAGTCAAAACCCTGAAAAGTTCATTCTTTCCTCTTCAGTTCATTAGGCATCATACTTTCCACAGGAATGCAGTCAATGAAACAACTGTGAAAAGGCATTACTTGATCTTCTATTTACTATTTTTTAAAATTCTGCCTTGTACACAATGAAGATATCTATAAATGAACTTCTTTTAAAAAATATCCCATTGAAAATACCGTCTGGCACTTAAAAACTAGGGATGCAAAGAATAATTCATTTCTGTATGATTGCTCTCGCTGCTTTTCTGGAACCTATGATTCCTTCGCTATCTTAAATGTATGTTTTGGTAGAATTATCTCATTGGTTTTTATTCATCTGGACATATTTTTTTAACTGAGAAACTACTATGTGCCAGGCACTGTACTAGAAACAGTAGATAAAAAGATTATTTCAGTTCTCAATGACAGATGACTTTGGAGACAAGACGATAAATACATGAAAAGAAATCTGTCAATTTAAGAAATATATGCTAAATGCCCCATAAGAGTTATAATCACCGGGGGGTAAAAAAATCCCACAGTATTTGAGTTGTAGTCCTTGTGAAACAGTGTAACTACACACAAAATTCAATTTTTAACTACAGTGTTTTTTCTCTGATTCAAGCTGGTTTTGCCCGGATAATGGCATTGTACTCACTTGCTTCCCCCACCCTTCCCCAGCCCTTATTCTCTGTGTGCATGCTCCTTTAATCATTAAGCCTTAGGACATAAGATTAACTGAGCAGCAGGTCCATAATCATGAGAACACTAGGTTTCCACTGGACTTTAGACTAAAGAGAACATCTTGGCTTTAGGTGTTTCAGTGCAGGCCCATTGAGGCAGAACCACCACCCACCAGCCACAGGACCAGATGGGATGGCACCATGATTATTAATTCCAGAACCGGACACAATGATCAATTACCTCATCCCTCTCCAATTGTCCAATTAGTAGCACCCATGACTCCAACTCCCTTAGTTTCCAATACTACTGATTTTTCCCTATATAATCTGTACTCTGAGACACCCCAAGGGCCAGGCCTTTGAGTGATAGCTTGCCTGTGTCTCCAAGACTTGCATCTCTAATAAATCTTACTTTCTTTGCTGCAAAACCTACACGTATCTCTTCTTTGGCTTAGACACAGGCAGGCAGAATGACCCCTTTTTTGTCTTGATAACAATAGCACGCTCTTGACATTTCATCAAAATTATAGTTTTGGGGAATAAGGTCAAAGGATACAGTCTTGGCAAATTCAACATAAGACCAAAGGCTGAACATGTTTAGATAGTACATCTTCTTGGTACTTCTCAATTTCCTTATGAGGTTTGTGGTAATGTGTTTTCTTTAGCATACGATCCAGCCAGATCCCTAAAAGCCCCATGGGGAAGCTAACGATCCTCTTATGCCTATAACCACACCATCTTGAAATTATTTTCTTTCCTTTTATGGTTTCAGACTACCTTTAGCAAGCAATGTATTTGGATCTAGCATCAAGGGCCTGGGTACTGACAACGTAAGAAATGTCTAAACTTGTAGAGAATTATTCTGTGTTTATTTGAGCCAAACTGATGACGCATGCTGGGGAGCAAGACCTCAAACGCTCTGGAGAAGAACAGTGTTGCAGCATTTTTTATACATTTGAAATTAAGGAGAGAACATAAGATTATGTGAAGATAGGAGAAAGCAAAACAGGAGATTGGATTACAGGATAGTTAACAAGATTCTGTGCTCTCTTGAGGGTTAATATCCCCTTCAAGGAGTATTACTTCTGACATTTCAAAGGTGTGTTAACCTAGATGCATGAGAACATGTACAGGGCTGGCTTAAAAGCTTTCACTAAAGAACTTATAGGCCTGGGGCATGACTACTCAAGGTAATTCCTGCCCAGTTAGGAATTTATGATCGGACCACCCTGTGAGATTACTTTCCATAGAACCTTTTTTTCAGTCCACAGTACAATGTCTTAGTAGGTCACAATGCCATCTTACAACATTGTGTACAGGTTATGAAACAATATATTGCATTACATACATGCAGTTGGTTGCAGGCCTACCTCAGAGACATTTCTGGTTCAGTTCCGGACTACCACAATAAAGTGAATATCATAATAAAGTGAGTCACACATTTTTTGCTTTTCCATTTCATATAAAAATTATGTTTATACTGTACTATAATCTATTAATTGTGTAATAGCAATATGTCTACAAAAATAATGAATACACCTTAATTAAAAAATATTTTATTGCAAAAAAAGTGTTTATTGCTAACCATTGCCTGAGCCTTCAGGAGTCTTAATCTTTTTTGCTAGTGGTTGCCACAAACTTTCAATTTATAAATAATGCAATATAGCTGGATAAAAGGAGGTATGCTTGTATTTAACAATGACTAGTTTGACTATCTGTTCTGTCAAAGACAGTCTGTTCACACAACCAATGCCTTAGTGGTGCAGATGAGAAGAGGGTTAGCTAGTATCACAAGAACAGGGACCTTGGGATGAATCTTGAAATAAGGTGAAATGTTGATAAGTAAGGACCAAGTGGCAGGCACATCATCTGTCCTGCTCTCCAACTTATCCCCAATGTTTAATTCCTGGAAACAGAGAAAGCACAGCTTTGAAAATCTATTGTCAATTTTGATCTAATTGAATCTCATCTAGTTGTAATGTCTTAAATGCTGCTGAGTTTAACTGTGGCAATATCTTAGAAACAAACAAGATCACAAACACAAGCCCACTTACCACTTTGTTTCTGTTCGGACAAGGAACACTTTAAAACAAAGACAGTGTAATTGTATCAAGGTATAGGATAGTTTATGATAGAGAATTCAAAATTGTGTTGAGATTTTAAAATTTGTGAAAATTTAAGCAACAAGATCCATTCGTTGGACTGAGAAAATTTTGGTCTCATTTATTAAAATCTTGTCAAGTTCCAAGACCCTGCTGTACTTCCTTTATATTATGCTCAGCACAATACCATCCAAGTACAGGCATACAACATTTCTGATATTGAAAAATACCTGGACATCACAGGGCAAAATTACGAGATGTTATAAAAATCTTATTTCCTGGATATTTATTGTTTTGTATTTCTGTTTTGTGAAAGCTGAAGTCTATTCTGAGTTTTGAACTTCTGATATATAATAAAATTGGATATAAATTTTAAATGATTGTGATATTTTTATTAAAATCCTCTGTCTTTGGACATGCCACCCTGAACAAGCCCAATCCTGTCTGATCTTAGAAGCTAAGCAGGGTCGGGCCTGGTTAGTACTTGGATGGGAAACCAACTAGAAAGACCAGGTGGTGTAGGTAAAAAAAAAAAAAAAACCTCAAATTGTCCCCCAAATTGAGATATATGATCAAGTATGAAGTTAAATTTAAAATAGCATCTGGTAGGATGAAAGCAGCTTTTACATTGCTGCTTCCTTTTGTCATCCCGTATACTACCTATTCTAGAGATTCTTTCATTTCTAGGCTAAAACATATTTTACGCATATTGTTTTCTGGTATAAATATGATTTCTAGTAAACATCTTTATTTTTTTCTCCAATCACTATTTATATACAATGAAGAGGATAAATGTGAAATTTTCATGTGGAAAAAAATACATGAAGGTTACTAGTTGGAGACTTTCCCTCTGGTTTCAGATCATTCTAAGTACTGAAAAGATATTTATATATGCCTGTTGCTTGTTTTTACCTAGAAGTATGATTAAATATAATTAAAATACCAAAAATAAGAATATAGGTCACAGAACAGAAATGGATGTTTACTCTGTGAAACTAAAATGAACTTTGGATCTTTTTTTCTCCTTTCAACAATACAGTTGTGGTTAATTGCCCACAACCCTTGCACTATCAGTTCCTGGAGAACCACCCATTCCCTGCCCCCACCCTCCACACACACACACGTACACACACACACACAGAGAAAAGCAGCCAAGCTTCTGTATAACTTTTATTTGTAAATCACGTATCTTAGCCTAGA